TTTTCTTATTGCCTTGTATTGGAATTTGCCCATAAAAATGGCTACGGTGTGATAATGCATTTTTTATATTTCGTGTTTTAACATTATTTTCAGAAAATTGCTCTTACAATACCTTGCGTTTTATATTCATAATATTGTTGCCCGTAAAAGCGGCTTGGTTACATGTACATGACATTGTACATGTATCCGCTGTCCGATCCCGGTTTGATAACTGATGGCGTGACACCGACACTGACAGGTCACCCAGTTTCAACGGTTGCAATGTCGAGCCATCTTGCACGCCCTTCCATTTCTGGATTGTTTTTTGCTTTCCGTTTCCCCATTATTCCAAAGGATGCTGTGTACGTGTAGCTCTGACATTGGTACTGTGCACTGGGCTACTGTCTGGAACTCTTGAGGTAATCATGATTTAATTTGAAGTGAATCTTTGCAAGTCTGTGGTCAATTAGCAATACCGCCTTCTCTTTCCTGCAATACCGCATTCTCTTTCCTCTAAATTCAAGCATTCTCTCTATCAGCATTTTCGCCGATATATTCATTACATGCGTGCCGCGGGGATTATGAAAAATATTCTTCCGAGGACCAATCCGTGCACTATCTGTACATAGCTCGACTTGTCAGGGGTCAGCGCAGCCATCATGGTACACAGTTTTTGGCTTTCACACTTTTTCACCACATTGTCTACACCTTTCCTTCTGTTCTCTTTGATTTCAAATTTCGATTTTCATCATCCTCCCGACACCCCAAGTCTCTTGCCCATCCACCAACTGGCAATTACTTCGCTAAATCCTTCCTTTCCCTTATCGCTGTTGCTTGGAATAAACTTCCTGCTGATATACGTTCACTCGATAGTCCCACGCTATTTAATCGCCAGGTAAGGAAGCTGTATGAAGTTTACCGCTTCTTAGGCTCCGGCGGATTATGCTCGCGAAATCATGGGATTATGCTTTCATGGATTCTCGCATTATGCTCGTAAAATCCTCATATTATGTTTTGGCACCCGGGGATATTATATCGACTTTGTTGTACTTATCGAGCCCCAAAGTTCGGAAATTTGTGCCTTTTTTCGTACTTGCAAGTTGCAAGTGGCCATAAGTACAACAAAATACATGAGTATCCCCATATAAAAGGTGTCCATGCATGTTAGAGATCAACATGGAAAAGAGAAAACATTACTTCTTCTATTCATTACTTGATTTCTTTTGTAATTCAGTGAAAATATTATTTCATTGCCAAATTCGTTTGAGTTACCTTTGAAAATTATCATGTTCAACTGTCTTCGTAATCATCATACTCGTCCAACCGATGTCATTCTCATTCATCACCCTGCGCATAATCAGCTCATCGCTCCCGTAGCTCCTCTTCTCCTTCCATCATGACCGAACATCAACTATACATCAATTTAGAGCAATATCCATAGCCTGCAGTCATATCATGGTTGCTAAAATCCCGAGGTCATGACTTCGTAACATGCATACTGTACAAATGTAATGTACATTATACCGGTACATGACATGTACACGGAGGTTTGCGGACTACCTGCCACTATCTCGTCCGCCCCGGAATACCTGATGAAGGCCGATTCACTCGCATCTTCTGCTACATGTACTGTGTCAGTGTGAGAAAGAACTTTGAAGAAAACGAGTTCGAGCATACAATACTGTATTGCCATGATTTATACCCTGCTTTTCATTGAAAACACTATCCGCATGACCTCCGAACCCTTTACCATGCAGACCACCAGCACTGATCAGGTGCATTGTACACAATAATGTATAGCCTACATACTAGAACTGTGGTATAATCGTGTAGTTATGCTCCTACCTCCTAGAGGATGCCAATTTATGCTCCAAATTTTCAACCACCAAATTATGCCAATAATTATGCCGGCATAATGGAAATTTACAGCTGACCATGTTTATGCAATCAACGGAATTCCGCCACCTTGCAGTTGATTTTCCCCATTGTGGTGATATTGTAGCACCTTTCCCTGCATGGGTCTTGGTACTCAGGCTGCTAGTGCTGCTGTTCGCACCCTAGGCCCTGCACTGCGGTACCTCTGGCGCCTTGCACATAACACATTCACATGTCACCTTTCAAGCCGCCTTTGCAGCCAGCTTCCCTTTAAAAGCCATTGCGTTTTACTGATGATTCATTCTCATCTTTCGAAGAGTTGGTCTGCCTTGAGCAGGACACAACATGGCGCAGCGAAAGACACGAACCTCTGTCAAGGCCAAGGCTGAGGAAGCAGCAGCAATCAACGACGGGTTGACAGAGCGGATGCAGCCAGGAACTCAAGAAGAAGGAAGCCTGCTGCAGTCCATCGTCCAATCCCTCAGCCAGCAGCAGCAGATTCTGCTTAGGCTCACAATGGCGCAGTCAAGCCAGCCTGCCGGCAGCGGCCCGCCACCATCCACCTCAAGACAGCCAGAGGTAGGGCCGTGGGCCCGGAGAGCGGAAATACCCCACCTGCCCAGTCCAGACTCGATAGACCTAGCTGGTTTCCTCGAGTGGAAAGTCAAGTGGTCTGACTACGTGTCGTTGACTGGGCTATGCAGAGACGCAGGTACAGTTACACAGCAAGCTGTTCTCCGTACAGCTCTCAATGATGGTTGGGTGCGGCTGTGGCAGGCGGGCGTAGTTCCCATAGCCGACGGCGATGATGAGCGGGTTGCTATCCAGAAGCTGGTCGCTTTCCTGAGAAAGCGAAGAAACCCGTTACTGGACCGCAAGGCCTTCCATGGCAGGAGCCAGAGACAAGGTGAGAGTATCAGCCAGTACTTCTCGGGTCTGTCTCAGCTGCATGATGCGTGCAGCTACCCAGATAGTCTGCAGTGCGGCAGATGTGGGTCACTGTGCGGCCATGAGGCCCAACTTCGGGAAACTCGGCTCCGCGACAGGCTCATCTGTGGCCTAAGGGATCGAGCGATGCAACGACGGGTGCTCGAAGAAGAGTATGCCAGTGAGTTATCGCTCGATCGGGTCATGCAGATATGCTCTGCATACGAATCCGCTACCGATACGGAATCTGGCCTCGGTGAGCAGCTGCCCGACCTGGCGTTGGCGGCGGCAACGAAGTCCACTTACAAGCGTCAGCAGGCGCAGGCACAGACGCTGAAGTCGGACGTAGGCACGTGCAGGTTTTGTGGGGAGACTCACCCCAAGGGCCAATGCAAGGCCTATAACCAGACATGCCGCTTGTGCCTCAAGGTGGGTCACTTTGCCAGGGTTTGTCAACAGCGGACCTCGCCCTCACCAGGAACGACGTCTGTCGACTCGCTGTTTGTCAACCAGGCTGGTCCTTCTAGGAACAAGCTGGTGACGGTTGGCGTCGCGATCCAGGGAGGATCGTCATGCGCTATCGGGTGGCTGCCGGACACGGGCGCGGATGTGGACGCCATCAGTCTTACCGACCTGGATGGTATCGACCCAAGCCTCAGGATGAATCTAGTGCCGGACACAGCTGATGTCAAGGCAGCTAACGGTACAGCTTTGGATTCCATGGGCAAGCTCGAGGCTCAGTTGTCCTTGAGCGACACTACCGCCGTGTCGACCCTGCACGTATTCCGGCAGCTGAAGACACCTCTGCTCAGCAAGGACACGTGCATGAAGTTGCGGCTTCTCGAGGATGGATGGCCTCACTCCCGTCTAAGGGTACAAAGCGTGGCAAACATCTCCATCCCTCGGAAGCAAGCATCCGAAGTCGCAGACACGTCAGTAGGTACTGCGTCGACGGCGGCTGAGGAAATCCGACGTACCTTGCTGGAAGAGTTTCCAGAAGTGTTCTGTGATACCCCGCTCAAGCCCATGAGCGGTGAGCCGATGCGCATCGAGCTCATCAATGGCGCGTCGCCATGCCGCCTGTATCGCGCTCGCTCCATCCCATTCAGGTGGCGGGACGCGGTGCAGAACCAGCTGTCCGACATGGTGGGCAAGGGCGTCATTGAGAAGGTGCCTGTCGGCGAAGCGTACACTTGGTGCCACCCACTGGTGGTGGTCCCTAAGAAGAATTCCAGTGAGCCGCGCATCACGGTGGACCTGACAGGTCTAAATAAATGGGTCAAGAGGCCGGCATACCCAACCCGAGTACCTCGGGAAGTCGTCGCGTCGATCCCAATGGGGATGCAGTACTTCACCACCCTAGATTCTCGCCATGGCTACTGGCAGGTACCCCTCGACGACGATAGCACCAGGCTCACAACGTTCATGACGCCATGGGGTGCCTACCGTTTCAAGCGGAACGTCATGGGCTTGGTGTCGGCAGGTGACGAACACAACCGGAGAGGAGACGAAGTGTTCGCCGGGTTTTCGAATCTTCAGAAAGTGGTAGAGGATGTGATCGTGTACGACACTGAGCTTGAGGCGCACACCCAGAGGGTTCGCAATGTGCTCAAGCTTTGCTCGGAAAACCAAATCACACTGAACCGCCGCAAATTCGTCTTTGCGGCACCCAGAGCATCGTACTGCGGATTCGTGGTGACGCCGGACGGCTACAGTCCTGATCGAAGCTTGGTGGAGGATCTACACAACTTTCCAATCCCTACCAACCGCACTGATATCCGATCCTTCTGTGGACTCGTGCAGCAGTTCGACGCGTTCACGCCGCGACTAGCGGAGCTTCTACCCCCGATCCGCTCTCTGCTCTCTCCAAAGAATATTTATCTGGGAGGATCCGCAGCAGCAGGCATTTACAGCTATACTAGAGGAGCTGGTGAGCCCTCGAGTGTTGGCTACCTTCGACCCTGCACAGCCGCTTCGTCTCGAGACAGACGCCTCGCAGTCAAACGGTCTCGGCATGGCACTGTGGCAGCAGCAAGTGGGCGGGCGGTGGCGTCTAGTGCAATGTGCTTCACGGCACGTCACTGAGACCGAGGCCAGGTACTCTGCAACGGAGATTGAACTGCTGGCGGTAGTCTGGGCAGTCCACAAGGCTAGACTGTTCCTGGCCGGTGCTGATTTCGAGCTGCTAGTCGATCACAAGCCGCTCATTCCTATCCTGAATGCTAAGACGCTGGATGAGTTGCCCGTCTCCACGAATCGTGCGACTACGAGAGAAGCTGACGCCTTTTCGGTTCGTGGCTCAGTGGAGACCGGGTGCCGATCACAAGGTCGCAGATTGCCTGTCGAGACACCCAGTACGTGCACCAGACCCTGACGATGAAGCTGGTGAGGAAGAAATCGAGCACTGCTACTGTGTTCTCCGTCAGCTGTCGCAAGAGGACGAGGAAACAGGCCATACAGTCCTCCCCGACCTTGGCATTACGAAGGTGCGGGCGGAGGGCTCGACGGACCCGGAATACCTCAAGCTGCTGAACGCCGTAAAGAACGGCTTTCCGGTGGACAAGGCTGCTCTGGACCTCGATCTGCACCCGTACTGGCAGGTTCGGCATGACCTGTCGGTCGAGGACGGCATAGTGTTGTTGGGTCACCGTATTGTCGTTCCCAGAAGGTTACGCCAGACCACGCTGGAGCAACTTCACGCTTCTCATCAGGGACAGACCCGCACACTCCGCAGGGCCAGGCAAGCAGTGTACTGGCCCCAGATCTCCAATGACGTTAAGAACGTCGTCCAGACTTGCAGATCCTGCATCACGCTGCTCCCCTCCCAACCTTCTGAGCCGCTCCTCTCTGACAGTCGTCCGTCCAGACCGTTCGAAGATGCAGCTGCGGACCTCTTCTCCCTAGGCGGCTTCGAGTACCTGGTTCTCACCGACAAGTTTTCCGGCTGGCCATTTGTTGGGCGTTGTGGGAGGTCGGCTACCACGTCTGACGTCACCAAACATCTCGTTCAGTGGATGTCGGACGTTGGCGTTCCTACGCGCCTCACGACGGATGGTGGGCCGCAATTCAGATCTTCAGCGTTCGCTTCGTTCTGCTCAGAGTGGAACATTTGCCACGACCCCAGCAGCCCGTACAATCCTCAGTCAAATGGCGCGGCTGAGGCGGCGGTCAAGGCCATGAAGCACTTATTAATGAAAATTGGCAAAGGTGACGCCTATAAGAGCAGTGCCTTCAGAGAAGGGTTGCTGGAGTGGCGTAACACGCCTGGGCCAGGAGGAGCAAGCCCGGCCCAACTGCTGTTTGGAAGGCCAACGAGGACCAAGGTTCCCACACTTCCTGCAAATCTGCAGCAGTACGCTGCCCACAGCCGCAGTGCTCCCCAGCAGGTCTCATCCCAGCTTGGCAAACCTCTGCCCCCTCTGCACGTAGGCGATAAGGTATGGATCCAGAACCAGTCTTCAAAACGCTGGGATATGGAAGGAACGGTCACAAAATGCACGAGAAGAGGACGGAGCTACACAGTGCAGACAGTGACGGGGTCCAGCTTCTGGCGGAACAGACGGTTCCTCCGGCCACGTGCATAGATTGACTGGGCATGCTTCTCTTGCTTTTTCCTTGTTGCTTGTGCGCTACGCTGTGATTTTCGAATTTCAGTTTCAGGATTTTCTTTGTGTTAGTGCTCCCAAGTCGCACTCAAGCCGAGGGGGCATGTGGTGATATTGTAGCACCTTTCCCTGCATGGGTCTTGGTACTCAGGCTGCTAGTGCTGCTGTTCGCACCCTAGGCCCTGCACTGCGGTACCTCTGGCGCCTTGCACATAACACATTCACATGTCACCTTTCAAGCCGCCTTTGCAGCCAGCTTCCCTTTAAAAGCCATTGCGTTTTACTGATGATTCATTCTCATCTTTCGAAGAGTTGGTCTGCCTTGAGCAGGACACAACACCCATTTCTCTCCTCATCAATCCCTACTTGTCTTTGTACATACATGTACATCTACATCTACTGTTCTTTCAATCAAATGAACACCTCGATAGGCACATTGCCTTTGGGTCATTTCATAATAATAATAATAATAACAGTCAATTTTTTTCTTCAGACCTTTCCCGTTTGTCTCTTTCCCTCAAACCAGTTAACAAAATAATAATAAGGCCAAACTAAAGAAGGTGTGTGGTTCGACTAACATGGACATTTTTTTTACGGGCGGGCGGGCGGATTTTTTTGTTTTTTTAAAATATATTTTTTAGTACATGTAAATACACTGTACTGCCTTTAGACACCCAGTACATCGGCATTATTACGCAGTGTTATGCCATACATGTATAAAGGGATCACTGGCTAATACTTTGAAACATTGTGTAGCTCTGGAACGAGAAGAGAATAACTTCAAGCGGTGACTCTGACTGTCCAAATCATCAAGCAAATGAAGAACGATGCGAGTTGAAAGTAAGTTCGGGAACTACTTCGAAGTACAAATTGTACAATGTACCGGTACATGTATTGCTAGTTTGGTGTCGGCGTGCACGAATACATGGGCTTTTTCCATCGACGCTTCCTGTGCTTGCACACATGGAGCAGCAACTTACCGGTACAGGTGAAATATCGTTCCCAATACACGAGGAAAGTGCAATCTCGTCTGTCCTTCATCCCAAAACAGAAGGCCGTCCTTAATCTGGAACGAGGCAATCACTCTCAACCGGACGGTCACTTCAAAATAAGTCTCGCCAGTCTGCCGGTGGTCGTATCGAGTAGACTCTACTCAGTACTACCAGCACAAGGCAGCAGTCGTACCACTCACTGCACTGCACTGCAGTACAACTACAAGTCAAGTCCAAAAGGAGCCGCCGCGCCTAGCGCCTGCGTCCGCAGACTCACGCTGCACAGCACGTAGACGTGGACGTGTTCAGTCCACGTACGTCAGTCACACGACAGCCCGCCGAAAAAAAGTTACGGTCGGGCTGAAAAATGTACGGTCGGTCGGGTGAGTCGAACCACAGACCTTCTTCAGTGTGGCCTAATAATAATAATAATTTATGGGTCGCAAATATCCACGCAAACACACATCCAGTCATAATAAGGCACTTGTCATAAGTATCCGAACGTTTTCGGTCCCTTCTCATCAAGGATTATACAGGGAATGGCTCAAGCTGGAAAGACTAAAACTTATATAGCGTAAAGATAATTAGATAACAACACTCGTGACAAGGTGGACAATTATCAAGTTTAGCACGACACAAAACTCGAAGGAAAATAATAATAGTGACAACAACATAGTGAGCAAATTAAGTTACATTGTTACCACCTCGACGAGGAGTAACACCAAACAATTGTAGCGACAACACATTTTCTTTCTGTACGCAAAGTTCAGGATCTAACTTACGGATATACAAAGCTTCTAACACAGCCAAATGTAACGCACATCTACCACGTGACAATATTGAGAAAACATTATCACTGTACAACTCGCGACAATTGGTACGGGCTGACAGATGTTGCTTGATTGACGAAGTGCGATTCTTAGCTCCATTGGGTGTTGTCTCCTCCAATGTCCCGTCATCTCGCCTCTTCGTGGCTGTCGGCGTCGGAAAGGGTGACGAGAAGCCAAGTGAAAATACGGACTGATGAGGACGAACGTACAACGACAACGGAAGTGACAACAACAGTCAATATTCGAAAACGTGGTAGACCGCGAAAACTAACCTCAATATCGGACACCGGACAAGTTGGAGTAAGAAGCTCAATAGAAATCCGCAATGGAGGAGACGTAACGGAAAGGACACCGGGTATCGCGCACCCAACGGTTAGTGTCAAGAAACGTGGAAGGCCGCGGAAACGCGAAGAGACAGATAGTGGTGATGCCACGAAGAGGCGAGATGACGGGACATTGGAGGAGACAACACCCAATGGAGCTAAGAATCGCACTTCGTCAATCAAGCAACATCTGTCAGCCCGTACCAATTGTCGTGAGTTGTACAGTGATAATGTTTTCTCAATATTGTCACGTGGTAGATGTGCGTTACATTTGGCTGTGTTAGAAGCTTTGTATATCCGTAAGTTAGATCCTGAACTTTGCGTACAGAAAGAAAATGTGTTGTCGCTACAATTGTTTGGTGTTACTCCTCGTCGAGGTGGTAACAATGTAACTTAATTTGCTCACTATGTTGTTGTCACTATTATTATTTTTCTTCGAGTTTTGTGTCGTGCTAAACTTGATAATTTTCCACCTTGTCACGAGTGTTGTTATCTAATTATCTTTACGCTATATAAGTTTTAGTCTTTCCAGCTTGAGCCATTCCCTGTATAATCCTTGATGAGAAGGGACCGAAAACGTTCGGATACTTATGACAAGTCCCTTATTATGACTGGATGTGTGTTTGCGTGGATATTTGCGACCCATAACTTACCTTCGTTTTAAAGTATTATCCGCCTCCGACCTCTTTTAAAAAAAAAAATAATAATAATAATAATAATAATAATAAATAATCCGCCGGTGCCTACCGCTTCTCAGTTTCCGGCATACCTAGTTTCACGTGTTGAACAATATAGTCTAAATCCGCTACTGCAGTTATTTTGTTTTAGTGCCTTTCCAGTGTTCTATTAGCACCGCTGGTTCTCAATCTATTGTTCCTCCTCTCATTTGACTTAGAAAATCTCAGATTTTGAGTTTTTTGCGCTCCATACATAATTTTATTTTCATTATTTTATTGGTTTGGTGAGACTCCCATGATAGGTATCCCTTTACCTCTCGAGAATCCGTAAATAAACAAACAACAACAACAACACTGACGGTATCCCAATTTGAGGATGGACAGAAGATGAAGTGCAGCTTTCTTGAACACCGACGTTTTGTCTACATTGTAGCTGAAACATCTCATCTGGCGTCTAGAACGCAATTATTATGAGTTGTGAGTGCCAGCTGAGCTGAACACAAGCTGGACACCATTCGTCAGCTGGGAATTTGCATCGAAGCTCTTGATAGCCACGATAAGCATAATTATACAGAGGTAACATTGTTTGACTCAATACGCATGCAGGTGATACCACTAGTGGCACTACAATGTAAATGGTGCAAAATTGATGCAACAGCAAATATGTACTTCGTACAATCACGAACAACTGTAAGGCAAGTGTTCATGCCTGTCATAGAAGAATTTCAGCCCGGAATACTTGTTGTCATGGTCATAAAATTATACAGGACTTGAGTTGGCTCTGGACATAAACACACTTGTGGTGAATACGGTCATTATTGCGAGAAAAATATTTAGCCATTGTCACCTGATGCCGCACTACAAGCAATATTTCATGTACATGTATGTGAGACTCAACTGCATCCACAAGGCCGTAGATGCATGTAAGCACACAATGCTGTACAGTTTAAGTAGTAATCGACATGTGGTGCCTTCCTGCTGCACATGCATGTGCAGCAAGGTGGCAACGACGCATGACCTATCCGCACCGCACAGCGTGAGCTTAGAAAGGAATATTGCACACATAGTGCTATTTGTGTTCCGATATCGTTAAGCCGGTATACATGTACTAGTATCCTTATACATGTACCTGGTCACTCGATAGGCGATGCTGACTGTACTAATCTTATCCATATTACCCGATAGGCTATAGCACACTGCGTCAGATCACTATGCAACAAAACAAGAGCTTTGGAGCGAATTATACACTGAAGCAAAGTAGGTTTCAACGGTACAGCACTAGTCACAATGAGGGGAGTTACGAGGATGGTTTGGCCGTGACGCATAGATGATGATTGTTAATGATTCGTGCATGGTGGAAAATTACCACCAATGGCGATGATATCGCTTTCACAACAATGACATCAGTAGGAGCAGTGACACAACCTTACTGCTCCAAGTAGGATTTACAAGCGAGTGAAGGGAGAGCAGATTGGTCTAATAGCAGACCGGGTCTAAGCAAGGAAGTAATCGGCATCAGAGGTGAGCTTGCACATCAGAAAACAGATGATGATCACCAAACACAGAGAAGTTGGCTATGTGTATGTTTGCGTCACTGTGTGTTCATGTGCGTGTGTCTGCATGTGCGTTTGTGTGTATGCGCACACATCTGTGTGTGAGAGAGAGGCAGACAGACAGATAGCATATGGTGGGAGGGATCAAGGTCTGACTTCAGAGTTAAATGCTGACGGTGTGGAATAGCAACAGTGCGAAATCGGGCAGGGTGGTTAATGGCCCACACTGGAGCCGAGTAGGAGCGCCAGTGGTTGAGGGCTAGCACAGGAGTAGCAGCCGCTCCAGCCTTTTATGATCAGCTTCTGGATGAAAATCTCCCTTACACAGTAGGTACCAAGCTTCACTAGCAGATTGCCGGCAGGGGCGCAAGGCGAGCACCCGTACATCCCTCAAGCCACCAGAGCCGCAGTACTTGGACACGATCCAGGTGCTTATCCGCCAATAATGCTGAGAAGGCACTGGAGCCATACAGGAACTTATGATCGAGCATGACCACAGGCTTGAAATACAGGGTCCGGCTTTGAATACTGAGACAGCGACGTCTCCTCCACAGAACACCACTCAGCCTCACTATTGCATTATTTTCGCTTTTTCATGATTTTT